GAAGTGGACTGAAGGAAGGAAGAAGTGTCGTATCATAACAGCCAGGAAGAAGCATTCGATAACATAGAAATGCTCGTGGAAATGAGCAGCTCCTTTCTGCCCCAGAGCCATCGCTACCTGGATGCAGAGCACAGGGTATGATACCCAAAAGAAGGTCTGTTGTAAGGCATCTGTTTGTCAGAGTGGCTTTTTTTATTGCTATTGAGTGCAATATTTAAAGCTAATTTTTAATATATCCCAGAAAAAGGGTGAATTCATCACTTTGCTGAACTCCCAGAATTTTAAGATCCTTCCTTGTGCTTTAAAATCTACATTCTAAGAAAAAATAACGCAGGACCCAATATGACAGAGAAGTCATCAACATTATTTTAAATCTTTACTGATTACAAAACAAAGCAGATGGCAAATCAAGTCGTGAACTCTGCATCTGCCATGCTTAATGAACAGTTTAATTACCTAGTCCCATTTCTGATGCATCTCTGCCACTCTCGGCGCTGGGAGTCACTTACTTTGCACTGACTCTCGCAAAGATATCTCCAAGAACATGTGCTATGAACAGTCAGCTGGAGTTGGTTAATCAATACTTGTTTAATCTCCAGCTTTCAATGGTGATGGCCTACATTATGTCTCAATAGAAACAGATTTCCTATCAGATCACATGATCTGGTTGAAAGCTCAGAAAACAAAAGGGAATTTTTCAGCCTCTTCTCAGGACAGCAGAGTACCTGAAGGCAGACAAATGCACAGACGGGAAATAAACACAGCAAAACAACAACATCCAGTACAATCAGATTAATTCATTTGCTGCGTTATGCCTTATAGGAGAGCAAGGTATGCAATTAGGACAGTGTACATTCACAAAGTCTGCAATTTGAGAAGCAAATTGGACTCATTTGGAGTAAGTTAAAAGAAATCACTGAAATTGGGCCTCACATTTTGAGTTTCGGTATATGCAAATAGGCAAGAGCTTCCCGCGAAAGATCACACACCGGCTGCAAAAAACAGGACACTTTGGTCAAATCTGCTGCACACATTATAGGCTGCTCCTACTCACTCTGCAGCTTCATGCAGTTACATCCAGAAGCTCTGTGCACAGAAGAAAGAACTGTTTTAAGGAGTCACTGCACACGTGCAGAAAAGGCTAGCAGGTCTGAACCTTAACAGCACCTAAGTAAGGAATACAGCTGAGGGCTGATCACAGCCAGGTAAAATCACAGGAGGAGGAGGAGGAGGCGGCAACAATCCTAAAGAGATCCATGCAAGCCAACTTTTGCCCTCCACATCAAAAGGCTTTAGGAAACCTTCAGTGTGTCTTTATTACTTTTCTTCAACCTCATTTCTGCTGCACAAGGTTCATTTGTGCCTCCTGAAAGCTGCCGTCCTGAAACAAATAGACCAGAGGTTTCTTTCCATTAAATACTGCCTCAATCAGCTGCTTGCACTCAGATAAGGATTTTCAGAAAGTGTTTTTCATTTTGGGAGACCTATATGTCATATAAAATTTCCCAAGAGATTCAAATTTTAGTCATTCAGTAATAGAATTCACTGTTTTTAATAAGCCTACTTTATAAACAAAGAATTGTGTGCAAAGCTCCCAGAAAGAGGGAAACACAAGCTTAAGGACAACACAAAAGTCAAATACAAAACTATTTAAGTAAACATGGTATTCAAAGCCAATACAGCAGTAAATCAAACAGGAAAAAGGGGCAGAGGTGGACTAGGAATCCCCCCAGCATTTCAGACATCTCCCGCTACTGCTGTATGGGAATTACCTCAGGTAATAAAGCAAAGATTAAAGATTTCCTTAAAACTCTGAGAAAAGCCAAAAGACAGGACAACAGACAGCGCACCCAGCCAAGTGATTTCTAAAAGAGTGACTTGAACATATCCTTTCAAACATCAATTTCTTTTTCATCACCTTAAGTGAACAGAGTGACACTCCAGGAGATACCTTCAAGCCATCAATGTCCAAAAACCTCTAGGGTGTCCAAATCTAGTCTTAAATTTCCCTGAAAACATGTAGATCAGAAAACTGAAGTAGTGTCCTGATTTACAAGGACATATGGGAGAAGGTAATCAACTAACCTGTTCTAAACAGCAGTTTGTCAACAGCAATAACCAGGAGATGCAGCTCCTACACCAGCCCCCTGTCAGAGATGGAATCAATTGGACTGGACCACTGCACTAGTACATCAAAGACTGGAGAATGCTGTTCTTCAAGTCTGCCAGGGAGGAGAGATTTGTTGTGACTCACTGAAATAGTCTAGACTGGCAACTGTGGCAATTCCAAAGAGTAAACCTAAAAGGCCCAAGAAACTGGAAAGGCCCAAGTAAAGTCAAGAAAGCCCAAAAGAAGCAAATGAAGCAAGGAACAGGTAATGGAGGGAGAAGTTACATGCACTGAAACGGAAATATGAGAGCAACCAAGAAAGGCAGAGACTGTGGCAAGTAGAAAATGAACAAGACTGAAGAAGTGAAACCGGCAGTCTGTGAAATCCAAAAAGTATTGCTTGAATCTAGAGGAAAAATTCAATAGCCATAAAAGCAAGCTGAGAAGGAATCAGATTGGCAAAGCAAGTACCTATTGAAGAGAGTATGTTTACCACTAAAATATTAGGTACTGCTGTTATCAAATAAAGAAGAGCTTATCATTTTCTACAGATCTTTTAAAACATATTCAAGGCCTGAGACTTCCAGGTTATAATTTGAGCTCCAAGAAAGGATAGCTGGTACTGCATTAAACTTGCACTGTTAAACATGTCTGATGCCTTTCAATCCTTATTTGCTCAGCATACAGGAACAGATTCACTGCCCTACTAGAGGGTCAAATATACACAAATGCAAAAATCACACTATCAAAAGCAATAGTAATTCAATCATATATATAATAGTCTCCCTCAAATTAGATTTTCACAGTCCTATTTAACAAGACAAAGATTCAATAGAGAGAGCTCATCTTTTCCCTTCTCAAATTACATAGAAGCACACTGTACTACTGATGCCACTAATTAGATGATTAAATACCATTCTAGGTGATATGCTTTCAATGTAAAATAATTATTTTTGACAGGAAATATATTTGCTCAATCTCATTTTATATCACAATATCATACTTTTTTAATTAAATGAAATTCCTTCTTCCGATTTTGCATGAGAAGAGCAACCAGCGGGAGAAACAGTGCCAAGGATAGATTGCCCAAGTACCATAATGCATGTACTTCTTCACAAAGGACCCCTAGCATTCTCTGGATGGAATATAAATTTTCAGAGAACAGTAAAGTCTTTATTCCTTTAAAACAGGTCAGCTGAGGAATCACTGAGCATACTGAAAACTTCCACTGTCAAAGCACAAGTTTATTTGCCATGGTCTGATGAAGGACATTTCCAACTTTTCCTCTTCAGAGGGAGGATAGCAAACAAAGCAAAGGCTCTGTCTTTCTATATAAATTAGGGTACAATCCATTACATGACAAAGTACTGTTGTCTTTTTGTCTAGTACTTAAAGAAAAGTAATGATATTTTGTATTCTATGACAAAACATGTTTCTGCTGAGGACTGGAAATAAGTTAACAAAGGGAATATTTTAGAAACTGTCTGAGAAACTTCCTTCAGGGCTGAGCAGCCCAGTGCAATGCCAGACAGCTGAGAAGGCTGTAAAGGAAGGATTTTTATCAGGTTCAGTATCCACCTGTGTCATATCCAGCCATGCCAGTACCAAAGCAGAACTCTGTGGAGGCCTGTCTGCTGCTGGGTGTATTAGAACAGATGCCTTTTCTGTTTCTGTGAAGAGAATTTGGTTCATCCACCCTGACTTCAGTGCCTACCTCAGTGTGACACAGAAGGAACTGCTGTCATTTTTCTCTTCTCATTTATGTGACTCTCCATGGCATCAAATTCTGTAGCCAGAACTGACAGAATATCCTCTTGTAAAGTGGTTGCTTCATGCTTCAAGAAGCCCTGCTTACACCACCATGTATCAAAGCTTCTTTGGCTCCACAATGACACAGAATTACAAAGAATTGGGTGCGGCACAATTAAAATAAATTTAAATGCTTTAGTTAACACTAAAAATTAAAGCCTAAAGCACAAGAAACAGATCAGCTCCTTTCCCTCTTGCTCAGACACTCCCATACCAGCATCTTTCCTCCCCATACACAGTGATACACCTCGTGCTCTCTTACGCGCTCTAACTACTCAAGTCTGACCTTGGGCCCACACACAAGCTTACTTAAGTGAGCAGCTTTATAACATCAGGGAGATTGCTCAGATGAGTGAAGTTCTGTATGGAGTATTCTTGGAAAGTGAAGTAACTATCATTCTGACTACAGAGAATTATTATTCCCTTTGGGGAAAGAGTGCTCTCAGAATTTAATATAAAGTTTTCAATGCTCTACAGACTTCAAAATTATTGTATAGAATTTTATCATGAGAGCATACCTGATATAGGATAATACAGACTGCTTTGATATATCCTATAGAAAGAATCCTAAAACGTATTTTCAATTTACTGGTCTAGTGCCTACCATTACATTCGAACAGACTTACAGCGTAAGAGGAAGGCAAATCTCTTACTCTCTGTAAATTGTTTTTCCACAGGAACAGTTGACAAGGTGCTGTCATTTCGTTCCTTTTAGGAAAGGAGGCGATGCAGCCAAAGCCATTATAAATCCCCTTCAGTGCCTCAAAACACTCTAGCGACAACATGATTCAATTCTCTGCCCTTGCACAAATGCCAAGCCTGAGACGACGTCACGTATCACAACACAGCATGAGCCCAGATGGGGGGAACACTAGCAAAGCCTTGGGATGGTGTACTAGTACTTTTATTCTAAAGCAGTCCTAAAGACAAGTTTCATGGCATATAGCGCCCACTGTGCAAAGACCCCATAGCAACTTTGTAGTACCAGTTACAGAGATGAACAAAGAAGAAATAGCAAGGACTGCACCTGGAGGAAAGAAGTAAGGACACAGACTCTTCCAAACATTATCTAGAAACTCACCTTGGTGAGTAGCAACACACGTTTCTGCAACCGTCTGACCAGTGCTTCATGCTGCTCACGTTTCTTCTTCTCATCCAAGAGCTGGCTCTGAATCCGTAGTATTTCTTCTTGTAGCTGCTGCCGGGCCTTCTCTAGCATTCGAGCACTAAGAAAGATAATACAGACCTGTGAAATCTTGACCACTGCTTCTTAGTCAGACAGATCAGAAAAACCTGAGAGAAGCATCACCATGATACCAGGACACTGGGGCTGGTGCCATTTCATCTTACAGCTGCACCACTGGAAACTGAGTAGCTGCAGTCTCATTATCAGCTGTTCTCACAAAAAGATATGAGAGAAGAACCATCCCAGTGACAGCACAAGACAATTACTGGAACCTCACATAGACAAAGCATTTAAATAAATGCAAACTATTTAAAAATCAACCAGTTTGCCTTTAAGAAGATGCCTCATTTTCAACAAATTATGCAGAACCTTGGGTTCTACTGTATCTTTTCATCATCTTCTAACAAAGTAGAAGTAAAACGGAGATTTAATACAATCTGCTTTGACAGACAGATAATACTCAGCAAGTAATTATAGTCACCACCTGTACACTTCTCTTGCCAGCAACCTGTATTGGAAGAGAAATGTCTTCTGAGGCCAGGTGATTAGCACTTCTTTTGCAATGTGGACATGATTCTTAATTAAGGCAGAATAGCTTGGTCCCTCTTATTCTCAGCTCTCTGTGTAGCAAGACATGGTGACACACAATTACCCATGTATTCCTGCAGACACTCTTCATGCACGCCCTTGAGACACTCAGTCTGCTGCTGGGACACTACTGGGCTGCTGTTCCAAGGCACACATCAAGCAGCTCATCACAGATCAAGCCCACTGGCAAAGTACTTGATCAATAACAAAATGAATGAAATAATTATTGTGATTTTGAGTCAGTTCAAAATTTAAGTATGATAAGTTTATCCAAGACTGCACTAACTTTAGGTATTTCAAGTGAGCAGGACATGAAAAAAAGTATTGTACAGAAGTCAAAAACTTTCAAGCAAGCTAGAAAGATCAAAATCAGCATCTCTAGCTTACTCAGGAACAGAAGATCTTTGTTTTTCTGATGCTAAAAACAACACTGGAAAATCTATGAGTGCTTCAGAGGAATATTCTTTATCATTATAATTAAAATAAAATGCTTTTAAATAAAATAGCACTACTGTTAAGGTACTGTTTAGATAGATCTGAAAGAGAACACCGCCTTAAAAGTCACTCAGTGTAAATCAAGTGCATCCTGCACTGCCAGGTCACCAAATTGTACCTTCTGGGAAATTTGTAGGAATTCACCAAAATCCCCAAGCAGGTGTTCCCATTCCTCAAAATCCTCCTTCTTGAAAAAAAAAATGTGCATCCTAAAACACTGGATGAATTAGAAGCCTGTTTAAAGTTCCAGTTCAATTTGGAACCATTCATAGACCAATTTAATACTCAAGGACTGTGAAATAATCTTTTCATTGTTGCATTCAGGTGGGAAAGTTCATCAAGAATGCTTCAAATCTACATTCGAAAATGGATAATTTTATTACCAGGGCACCACTACTTCCTTGGTTCTGTTTTAACTAATCAGTTAAAAAGGGAACCCGTGCCCAAGAGTGGTACCTATGGTGAAGGAACATGAAGCAGCACAGCCTTTGCACTGGATGCTCCCTTCCCCATCCCAACTTCAGCAAATATCTCAAATTCAGTCTCATGGATACTCAAGAGAAACACTAGCGTTTTTCTTCTTGAACAGTGCAAGAATTCCACTGGATAAAGTAGAGAATCAACTCTTGTCTGATTCTATGATATAAGTTTGTGCTCAAAAATTTCCTAGAAACAAACATCCGAAGACAACAAATGCCAGGTTGAGTCCTGACATACTGTAAAATATGGGATAACCTAAAGCAGTATAGCTGAGATTTCAAATGTCACAAGCACATATATATCACTCAAGAAGTCACTACTTGCAGTGTACGAAACCCACACCATTCAGAAGTTACAGTTGCCAAATTATAAAGCTCTCCAGCCCATCCTTTTGTTGGAGGTTACCACTTCACAGTATAGCTAGCAAACTCATATGTGCGCACACCTCAGCTGCTCAGTTCACAATACACCATTCCATGCCTTAAACACCCCTTTAGGGACAATTTAAACTGACAGTAATTTCCAGTAGATGGACATAACTTGGGCAACATCTTGGGTAAGGATGTGGTGGTGGATAAGGAGTTAGCTGGACAGTCACACTCCAAGAGTTCCAGTCAACAGCTCAACGTCCAAGTGGAGAGCAGTGTCAGTGGTGTTCCTCAGGGGCTGGCATTGGGACCGGCGCTGTTTAACGTCTTTGTTGGTGCCATGGACAGTGGGATCCAGGCACCCTCAGCAAGTTCACCACAACACCAAGCTGTGTGGTGTGGTCAACATGCTGGAGGGGAGGGATCCCATGCAGAGTCACCTGGACAGGCTGGAGAGGTGGGACATGCAAACCTCATGGAGTTCAACAAGGCCAAGTGTGAGGTCCTGCACACAGGTCGGGGCAACATTACCCAGCAGTGTGCATTCACAGCCCAGAAAGCCAATCGTAATCTCGACTGCAGGTTGAGGGAAGGGATTCTACCACTCTAATTAGACCCCACGTGCAGTGCTGTGTCCAGCTCTGGGGACCCCAATACAAGAATGACATGGACTTGTTGGGAGCAGGTCCAGAGGAGGCCATGAAGATGATCAGGGGGCTGGAGCACCTCCCTTATGAGGACAGGCTGAGAGAGCTGGGGGGTTGAGTCTAGAGAAGGCTCCAGGGAGACCTTACAGCAGTCTTCCAGTACTTAAAGGGGCTACAGGAAAGGTGGGGAGGGATTCTTTATCCGGCAGTGTAGGGATAGGATGAGGGGTGATGGGCTTAAACTGAAAAAGAGGAGATTTAGATCAGATCTAAGGAAGAAATTCTTCCCTGTGAGGAGGGTGAGGCCCTGGCACAGGCTGCCCAGAGAAGCTGTGGCTGCCCCCTCCCTGGAAGGGTTCAAGAACAGGTTGGACGGGGCTTTGGGCAACCTGGACTAGTGGAAGGTGTCCCTGCTCATGGAAGGGGGGTTGTAACTAGATGATCTTTAAGGTCCTTTCCAACCCAAACCATTCTTTGATCATAAAATGTAACAGGAAGATTCATTACACCATGGCTCTCAAAATCTTAGGCTTAAAACACTTATCCCCCTTTCCAAGGGGCTTGTACTAAGACAGACTTGGCTAAGCTTGTGCTAAGACAGACTTTATGCCCACACATACGTGTCAGCCTACCAAGTTTGCAACAGGTCAGCCTCCAATACAGGGCCAAACAGATGGGGGAGACGAGGTAACCTCAGATACTCTGTTAAGATTCATTAGAGTTTGTTCAACAATATTCTTTTTTTTATGCATATGGTAAATATAAGTATAAAAACCTCATCAACTGTGTTATAACAAATTAAATCGCACTACAAAAACTTCACAGCAAATATTATTTGCTCTATCAAAGAAATTTAGTCCTAATTAGAGTCAGAACAGAAGAAAAAATACAAGTATAAGATTAAATACTACAAAACTGTCAGAATCTTGCATTTGATTACAAAACATTTGATTGCAAAACATTTTGATAGGACAGTGAATAAATCTTTTTTTTCCCAATGTCCCAATATTGTGACCTGTTTCTATAAATGCTGAGTGGACTGACAGTTTATGGTTAACATTCACAAAGAAAAGTGAGATATGTGCTAGGTTTCCTTCTTGAAATAAAGAAAAACATTTCAGATTCACATCTCATGGAGAGCACATTCACCCACATACACACTTCTCGAACTAGGTTGGAAAATGACTGCTTTAAAACATAAGAAAAGATAAGCAAAGAGAGATAAATGGGCAATTTCCTCAGCGATTGCATGGTATTTGGTAACAACACCGTCATCTGTTTATATTTCGGCCTCAGATCAAATGTGATGTTAATGTACATAAAATTTAAATGCCAGAGATGTCTATGAAATGCTCAAACTCTCTGAATTGGTTCTGTTATCATAGGTTTTCTTGCTATAGGAAGTGTGAAATTCAACTTCCTTACAACCCTCAAACACTATGCCAAAGGAAATTATTGAGATCCTTTTTACCTCTCCTAGGACAGATTGATAATTCTTCCAGAAACTGCACCAAATAAAACATAAACTGTCTCTATTAAAAAAAAAAAAAATCCAAAAAGAAAGTTATATTCCTTATTGAGAAAAAACAGGATTGAAAGTAGTTGTCCAGCGGCAAATGCTGTTAAAGTTAGACACAGGCACTCTTCTTCCACACTGATGACACCTATGGCTTTTCAAAAGTAATTGGTCACTCAAAACAAGCATTAAAAAAAATAAAATAAAATAGGTCCAAAGTTCTCCATTCAACATAAGCTTAGAGAACTGGCATTTTTTAAAATCTTTGCAAGTTCGAACTAAACCTTTTAAGCCTTAAAGAGAAAAAGTCATTTTTGTTTATCAGCCTATTAACGTTCCTTGTTCCACATCCCAGTGAATGAGATGCCAACATCTTTCTATTCTGAGCTGCTGAGACTCTTCATGTTTTGCTCTTCCCTTCTGTAATCCACTTTAATGTAATCTTAATGATAAAACTTCATGTTCCAGAAAATTCTTTGAAAGACTGAGAACAATGACAGCGGAGAGTGAATACTGAAGCTATAAGATACATTTTAATAATCTCCTTCAAGAAATTACAAAAGCAGCTGACAGCTTTTTTTCCCCACGCAATGATCCATAAAACATTATTTTAATCATTCCATCCTTTTAGTAGCCAAGTTACCACCTCAGAGGTACTAAAAAAAAAAATAACAGCGAAAGCAAATGGGATGCCAGAACTAGTCTGTATATCAATCTGAGAGGAAACAAGAGGTCCACGACAGCACAGAGACAATTAGAAGAGCAACACTGTCTGGGTCATGCTGCAACTTGGGATGAGACACTTGCACATACCAGGGCCAGCTGTCAGAAAGAAGGATCACATCAAAGAGAAAACACGGAAAACCAGCAAGCGTGGATGGCAAGAACACTGAAGATGCACAGAGGGAAAACATGATGACAGTGCTATTGCACATACATAACAGAA